ACTGTTGACAAGAGTGTCATATTAGTGGTAATTTTTGCAAGGGCGGTCTGCACGTATGATTTAATATCAAAGTTTTTGATCTTTGCCGGGTCGATGGTGGTAGTTGGTGGCACACCAGGAACAGGAATTTTTCCGATAGTAATTAACGCATCAATAACACTAGTGTCCAAGCCAACCAATTGAGCTTGTTTACGTAGAAGACCAAACATAACAACTTTGTCGAAATTCAAATTTATCGGCAGGTCCTGAACTTCGGTAGTTTTGTTTCCGACGAGCACTATCGGATTGTCTGTTCTGTCAACTAGAATTCCCGCAAGTATGTTTCCGTCGACGGTGATATTTGCATCAATGTTGAGAATATTTAAAGTGGCCGCAAAAGGATTGAACATTGTAACTGACGCGGCAGCATTTACACCGGTGTCGGAGGCACCTAGAACCTTCAAGGTACTGTCGGTTATCAGTTTAACTGGTTGAGGTGGAATCGAAGCTTCTAGTTTTAAATTGGACAATGCGAGCTTTAATGATGGAACTTCTGTAGAATTCTCATAGCCTTCAAGCGTTACGTTGGAAGTTTGCCCCCCCAAGAAATTATTCAAAAGTACTTTAGCGTCCGGATTGTTTGCAGGATCCAAGGTGGAGTTAAGTTTCAAATCGTTTAACCCAGGAGCAAGAGATAAGAACACAGTTGCATGTCCAATTACTGAATCACCAAAATGGACCTCGAAACTTGTTTCACCGGTCGAGATAGAGGTGTTGGAAGGATTTTCAAGGGTTGCGTCAATTATTATTATCAGTGCATCCGGGGTGCCATCGGCAACTGTTACGGAATTAACTTTTGGTGGGGAGGTGCTGAAGTTTGAGAATCCTGGTAAACTTACATTCAACGTAAACGGAAGGTTTGATATGGGAAGTGATCCAATAATGGTGTTGGCTAATACATTGCTCGAACCAGTAACGTTAAAATCCACAACGGATGAGACCAACATTTTTGCAACGAAGAATCCAAATTCGATTTCTGAGCCCGGGTACACATTCAACGGAGTTGGTGGAATATTCATAGTTAATTTTCCATTTAAATCATCTTTTGTAGGAAATTGAGTGGTGTTAAAGGTAGCAAGTGGAATAACACTAGCAACATCGTAAAGGGTTGCGTTTTGAGAAATCTGTTGAATGTTTGTGCTAATGTGAAACGGTAAACGATAATCGGCAACTGTATTATTTGAAGAAAGTGTGATGGCTTCTGGAGTAAAGTTGAATGAAGGAGAACCAAAATCAAGACCGGTGATGAGTTGCGGCGGTCCACTTGGAGCATCTCCGATCGCAGCGTTCAAAGTCAACGATTGTACAGAAGAGGTAAGCCATGACACTGAATTGATTTGATCCGGATAAGCATATTGTCCTGTTGCATTTGTGATCACCGGGGTGTTTGTGAGGTAGGCGCTCATAAGACTTCCAAAATTCGCACGATCTACGTCTGATTGTGGAATGGATGCATTTCCGATCATCGAGACCACCATTTCTCCAG